TCGTCGACAAAACTAATGTAATATTTCAGTCATACAACATTAATTTTCTTAAAATTTTAGTAATTTTTCACGAGATTGTAATTTTTGCCGAGGCAAAGCCGAGGATTAATCTTTTTCCCACTTCTTGAAAATAAAACAAGTTGAGGTGTTTTTAGAAAATTTTGGCAATTTTCAACTAAAATGACAAAAAAACAGTGTTTTTGACTAGTGTTTCGAGCAATTTGTATCGAAATACAAACAAAAAAAAGATTTTTCTCTTGTTTCTTAAGAAAACTTACCACTTATGGTACAGTCACTGACAAAGCTAATGTTATATTTCACATTTTCTCAGTAAAAAGTAGCGTTTCCATAGTAAACTTACAAGTAATGCCATAATTTCTATGGCAATTACTAATTAGTGTCAATTGGGAAAATTTTTGTTAATTACCATAGTAACAAATATAAAATGTAATTTTTGGAATCGTGGAAATAGTGTAAAGACGTAGTAAAGGTAATTTGCGTGAAACCCCTTCGCCCCTCTCGCCCGCTACAATAGCAATAGCTCCGTAATTAACTTAGAGCGGAACACAATTAGCTCCAATCAATCTCATCACCCTGGGTATTATCCCCGGTGTAGATATAAGGGTGGTTTCGGCTCGAAACTGATTTCCGGGCATTAAGGGTAGGCGGGCGCTTCTCCGGTAATAACCATCCCCGGAGCCAAAGAGCAGATTGTGATCGTTTGTCGTTTGTCTCGGATGAAGCGATTTTCAACAACATCATGAATAGTAATAAGAAAGAGTTTGAGTCACAACATCAACACAACAGGACATCCTTCCTGATTGAGGATATCCTCTATAGGCAAAAGGAGGCTGTGGAGGAGGAGAAGGTGTTTCAGCAGCCGAAAAGACAGGAAAAAAGTGCGTACGGGTACTTTCAGCCGGTGCAAAATAGTGGATGTGCAGTGCAAGGGTTCCAAGGGCCTGAAAATGGATATATTCAGGTCATGGGGGCGCTGGGGGCCTATCTAGGCACGCCGTATAAGACCATGACGGATCCCTATTTTTTAACGCAAGGTAAACGATTTTTTACACTTAGTTTCTGTTCCGAATTGCTATGGACACTCAAGGTCATTGTATCTTAAATGAGTCCGTAAAGTAGCTATTTTTTGGACCGTATACAATTGATGTGAACGAACAAAATCAATCTTTTAACAAGTAGAAATTTAACATAATAATAATATTAATATTGGTTCCAAATTGTTGTGAACAGTCAAACTTACAAGAAGATATTCTTTTTATTTATTATATATTTATTTATTATCAAAATAAACAATAAAAGAAGAATTTTTTGTGAAATTACAAAGTTCAATTGTTTGTTTTTTAAACAAAAAATGTTTTTTTATTTATGCCAAATTGACAGTTTTTCTGACAAATTGTATCTTGTATGTTAAATGAATCCGTAAAGTAGCTATTTTTGAGACCATACACAAAAAATAAATTTTTAAATTATTATAGGACTTTTTGTTGTTAACAAATACGTAAACATTGCAAAAAATTGATATTTAAATTTTTAAATTATACTAAAATCTGTTCCGAGTTGATGTGAACGAACAAAATCAATCTTATTACAAGTAAAAATTTTTCAATTTTTTTTAAAAGGTAATAAAAATACTTAATATTTGTTCCAAATTGCTGTGAACAGTCAAACTCACAAGAAGATAATCTTTTTATTTATTATACGTGAACAAAATAAACAATAAAAGATATTTTTTGTAAAATTGCAAAGTTTAATTGTTTTTTTTTTAAACAAAAGATATTTTTTTCATTTATGCCAAATTTGAGTTTTTCTACAATAAACTCCTAAAAAATGATTTATCTTTTTAAGTGACAAAATAATGCTTAATATCTGTTCCAAATTGCTGTAAACAGTTTTGTTTCATACTTACTTAATGTCTATTTTGAATTGCTGTGAACAGTGAAACTCCCAAGAAAATAACCTTTTTATTTATTATACGTGGTCAAAATAACCAATGAAAGATATGTTGTTTAATACTATTTTATTGTAAAATTTACAAATAAAAAAAAATTACAAATTTTTATTGTTTTTCTAAAAAG